AGGCCATCGCTATTAGGTTGGAGGCCATCGCTATTAGGTTGGAGGCCGTCGCTATTAGGTTGGAGGCCATCGCTATTAGGTTGGAGGCCATCGCTATTGGGTTGGAGGCCATCGCTATTAGGTTGGAGGCCATCGTTATTAGGTTGGAGGCCATCGCTATTAGGTTGGAGGCCATCGCTATTAGGTTGGAGGCCGTCGCTATTAGGTTGGAGGCCATCGCTATTAGGTTGGAGGCCATCGCTATTCGGTTGGAGGCCATCGCTATTCGGTTGGAGGCCATCGCTATTAGGTTGGAGGCCATCGCTATTAGGTTGGAGGCCATCGCTAGTAGGTTGGAGGCCATCTCTATTAGGTTGGAGGCCATCGCTATTCGGTTGGAGGCCATCGCTATTAGGTTGGAGGCCATCGCTCTTAGGTTGGAGGCCATCGCTCTTGGCTTGGAGGCCATCACTGCTAGGAACAAGAAGCTACTACTAGTAGCAAAGGGCCATATTCCTCCTCTTCGAATTGCACACCTGTCCGGTCGATCTTTTCGCCTCTTGAGGGGCGTCGACTGCAACTGCACCAACGATGTCAGAGCACCTGGACGGCGGACGGAGGCCGACCAGGGAGCGGTGCAATGACTTGGCCGGAACCGGGCATTTGGACTAGTGGATTTGGCTGGAACCTGTATTTGGGGTGGGGGGCCATACTGTTGCTGTGGTCGCACAAGATGGTATCCTTACCTACCACCGAAACACATTACGGATATCATGCGGATATCGTACTTGGCGGATAACAGGTAGGCAGCAATGAACGTTGTTGGTAACCTCTGGCTACATGATCCTCTCTGAGGCCCCGAGTAGAGCACGCACTGTGCAAAACTTGATTGAAAAAGGATTCACAGAAACTAGTGCCTTGTTGGGTCAAATTTTGTGCATATCCCATTACCAGTAACAGTGGTGATGATGGTTAGTAAAGGCCTTTGCCAAAACTGGTGATAATTGTCTACTGACTGTTACAGGTAATGGGACGGACCCAAGTTAAATGGATCTTCCCTCAAGCGAATTTTCAATATTCCCGCCTGCCGCTCTCTCTCTCTCTCTCTCTTTCTCGCTCTTCACACTGCTGCCATTCGACTCTGGCACTCTCTCAGCGGAGCAATCGCATCACTTCCATGTGACCAAGCTGCACAGCAATCGTCAAAGCAGTTGTTCCACATGCCTTTGAAACATTCTTGGCAGCTCCAGCCTCGAGCAACATCCGCACCACTTCCAACTGGCCATTG